AATCCGAGTCAAATCAAGCTTAGATGAAGTCATTAAATCATTTTTAAAAGCTTTTCAGGCATATTTGAAAAATCAAACAAATGTCGAATCTGGTGAGCTTAAATCCAACAAGCCCAAGATGACTCAATTCTGATATCATTAAGGCACTCAAATTTACTTTAAACGTCGTCCGATCAAAGGAACCTCTCAGGGTCATTCGTTCATAGTAGTTCATATTCCTTCATTTATAACAACTGAGACTCTATAAATAGAGCCCCGTCCCTTTCATGAGAGGGGAACTTGATGTCTGAAGAGAGAGTTTGAAGATTGGAGAATGAACTGAAGTCCAACACCACTCCTATTGTCGTCGACCACTGCCGACACCACCAACCACAATAGATCACAACCTACCAACCGATTGTTATCGGTCGTCATACGTCTCTTGCAACAAGTTCATCCACACGTTGACATAATAACTTTGGAGACTTAGTAACTTTTTCCCGTCTGTGGGACAAGTGATTACATTTGTAATTATCATTTTATAGTGGAACTCTTCAGTTGGGTTGGACCCATGGTTTTTTCCTTTATGGGTTCTCCACATAAAAAATGTTGGTGTCATTATTAGTTATTTTCTCTCGTCTGAGTGCGTGTTGAATCTTCATTACCACAATAAGACAATAATATATTACTCTACTACTACGAAATTTTTAGCCGTGTTAGTTTGGCATCACCTGTAGGAATCGAAGCATCGTTTAGCACTATTTTCAACTCTGAGACATCAAGCTCCTAATTCATTTTCTAATGATGTGCGTCATCCAATCAGCGAAGAAACCTCCTTTGCATCTTGAAGATCATCTTTGAAGCATTCTTTGTTGTGGAGGAAACCTTCACTGCAGTCTCAAATTTCGTTCACGTTAACTAAATAGGCATGATTGTAGTGGGGTTGTCTTCTCGCATCATATTCAAACACAAAGTCTTTTACAACTTCTTCTAGGCTGGGGGGCAATATTCACTGCAGTCTCGATAGGTCGTTCACGTTAACTACTCGGGCACGATTGTGGTAAGGTAGTCATACCACATTTCATTCAGACAATAAATCTTTGAAAACCACTTCTAGATTAGGGGCAATCTTCGTCACAAAGAAAACTTCCTTAGTGCCCTCTCAGGGTACTATCATTCCTCTTCAACTAGATCAAGAGACCGATCTCTTCAAGGCTCGATACATGGGTTTTACAAGTGTGTTGAAAATGCCCTTGTTGGGCTGCAACAGATTAAAAAATAGTAACTGACAAGCTATCAAATATTATTGTTGAGTATGACTGCAATCATATTTGCAAGAAAACATATGGTCTATTGCAACCTACGCCCTAGCTTGAGAAATGCATAATTGATCTCTAGAGGACTCGATTTGACTTGTTCCATCGTAGGCTACAGTCATCAAGCAAAAACTCCGAATAACAGTCTTGGGTAGGTAAAAAATCCTTGGTGGATTTCCTTTGAACTCTCCATATCAGGTTACGTTGGTCAAGCAAAAGTTTTAACCAATAACCTAAAATTGGTCAACTATCCTTAGGAGATTTCATATGACTTTGTCCGTTACAGGTTAATTGTCGTGCATCTCCAACTATATAATCTATGATGGGTCTTACATCCTCAATGGATTATTCTTTCAATTGTGCTCCAACGCAAGTTACAGTCGTTAAACGTCTGTTACATAGGTCGTTGACTACTTTTCTTTGCACCTTCTTCAAGAAAGATGATATCGTTGATTGTCTGCTACACAAGTTGGGGACAATTTTTCTCTGCACCTTCTTCAAGAAAGAAGATCTCGTTAGTCATCTGCTACGTATGAGGGAGACGACTTTCTTCTACGGTGCAACACAAAAGATGATCTCGTTGATCGTCTGCTACGCATGATGGAGTCGACTTTCTTTTTCGCAACAACACGAAATAAGATATCATCTTGACCTCTATTTATAGGCTTAAGAGCAAACATATCATTAAAAGTAATTAAAAAAATTAAAAAAATGAAATTTGAATTAATTCTCTTGTTCATCCACCTTCCTCATTTTAAATAAAAAAATATCCATGAATTCCGCCGTTTAGTTTTGTGAATTCTGGTCAGCTGGCTTTCTGAATTCTAATACATGTAAATTCCTTTAAGCACAAGAGGATAAAAATAATTGCATTACAATTACATTAACGGCCCGTTTGGGGCAGCTTATTTTGCTGCGGCGTCGTCTTGAAAACGCCGCCGCAACGTTTGTTTCGGCATTTAGGGCTGCATTTTCAAATCGTCTGTAATCGCGGATGCGATATTATTCGTTCCATCGAGCATTTAGCGCTGCGTTTTCAAATCGTCCGTAATCGCGGATGTGATATTATTCGTTCCATCGAACGCAGGGGGAGGGGTTCCGTTCGGCGTTGGCTAGGGCTT